GTAAAATATACAGCAGTTTGCATATCACAGCTCCTTAACTGCCAAGACAACACGTGACCAAAGACTGTGAGCAAATTTGTCAGCGTTTTTTCAATAATACAGGTATTTAACACTTTAGGTTTAAGTGTGTGTATCCAGCCACCCACCAGCTCCAACATCAGTCAGTACCAAACTAGACATGAAGCCTCCACTTCAATTAAAACGTCACTTCAAGCTCACTGAGTGTCATCATTTTAAAGAGGAACTCTAAAATGATTTGGCATGGTAAATAACATCTATCTCTATTTGTTTTTATCTAAAACATATCTATTGAGGCAAGTAGAGTGCGTTCTAAACATAAGATAAAGCTTTGGCTAATAAACAAAACAAAAAAGCATATTTATACAAAGCCATAAATCCATTTTACATTCCTCAAACACCAAAAAACACTTCCATATATACAGGGAGTGCAGAATTATTAGGCAAATGAGTATTTTGTCCACATCATCCTCTTCATGCATGTTGTCTTACTCCAAGCTGTATAGGCTCGAAAGCCTACTACCAATTAAGCATATTAGGTGATGTGCATCTCTGTAATGAGAAGGAGTGTGGTCTAATGACATCAACACCCTATATCAGGTGTGCATAATTATTAGGCAACGTCCTTTCCTTTGGCAAAATGGGTCAAAAGAAGGACTTGACAGGCTCAGAAAAGTCAAAAATAGTAAGATATCTTGCAGAGGGATGCAGTAGTCTCAAAATTGCAAAGCTTCTGAAGCGTGATCATCGAACAATCAAGCGTTTCATTCAAAATAGTCAACAGGGTCGCAAGAAGCGTGTGGAAAAACCAAGGCGCCAAATAACTGCCCATGAACTGAGAAAAGTCAAGCGTGCAGCTGCCAAGATGCCACTTGCCACCAGTTTGGCCATATTTCAGAGCTGCAACATCACTGGAGTGCCCAAAAGCACAAGGTGCAATACTCAGAGACATGGCCAAGGTAAGAAAGGCTGAAAGATGACCACCACTGAACAAGACACACAAGCTGAAACGTCAAGACTGGGCCAAGAAATATCTCAAGACTGGTTTTTCTAAGGTTTTATGGACTGATGAAATGAGAGTGAGTCTTGATGGGCCAGATGGATGGGCCCGTGGCTGGATTGGTAAAGGGCAGAGAGCTCCAGCCCGACTCAGACGCCAGCAAGGTGGAGGTGGAGTACTGGTTTGGGCTGGTATCATCAAAGATGAGCTTGTGGGGCCTTTTCGGGTTGAGGATGGAGTCAAGCTCAATTCCCAGTCCTACTGCCAGTTTCTGGAAGACACCTTCTTCAAGCAGTGGTACAGGAAGAAGTCTGCATCCTTCAAGAAAAACATGATTTTCATGCAGGACAATGCTCCATCACACGCGTCCAAGTACTCCACAGCGTGGCTGGCAAGAAAGGGTATAAAAGAAGAAAAACTAATGACATGGCCTCCTTGTTCACCTGATCTGAACCCCATTGAGAACCTGTGGTCCATCATCAAATGTGAGATTTACAAGGAGGGAAAACAGTACACCTCTCTGAACAGTGTCTGGGAGGCTGTGGTTGCTGCTGCACGCAATGTTGATGGTGAACAGATCAAAACACTGACAGAATCCATGGATGGCAGGCTTTTGAGTGTCCTTGCAAAGAAAGGTGGCTATATTGGTCGCTGATTTGTTTTTGAATGTCAGAAATGTATATTTGTGAATGTGGAGATGTTATATTGGTTTCACTGGTAAAAATAAATAATTGAAATGGGTATATATTTGTTTTTTGTTAAGTTGCCTAATAATTATGCACAGTAATAGTCACCTGCACACACAGATATCCCCCTAAAATAGCTGAAACTAAAAACAAACTATAAACTACTTCTAAAAACATTCAGCTTTGATATTAATGAGTTTTTTGGGTTCATTGAGAACATGGTTGTTGTTCAATAATAAAATTATTCCTCAAAAATACAACTTGCCTAATAATTCTGCACTCCCTGTAGAATATATGTATAGTTATAAAAAAAATAATTTAACACTAACAGTGCAATATAAATAAAGATGCCTAGGCATGATGACGGTGGCAACCCTAGACTCTAACACAGTCTACGTTATTTAAATAATCCATAGAGCGGCCAAATAGGACAAACATTCAGTGTAACAGTTATAAAATTCTTGTGTAAAGATCAGGTTCATGCAACATTACTCTGATGTCTGCACTGCATAAATAAACAAATAACAGAGAAAAACATTCAGAACTTGAGTCTAAGGAGCTTGGAAAGAAAAGCATCTGGAGCGTCCAAGCTCCTTAGACTACGATGACCTGGATGACTGAGAACCTTTGCAGACATTCAGAACAGGACACATCAGGCCAACACCAGAATGATGATCTGCGTTTTTCATCCTTCATATGGCAAAGTGGCATTTTCTCTTGATGTGCATGTTTTCCTTTTCCAAGTCTCCCATTTTAGTTTCAGTACTACATTGACATAAAACATAGACTCAATAAGACCACAGGTCTGCAAGACGTACATAATTTGTGAACAATTCTAAAAAGTGAGGAATAACCGATTAAAAAAAAAAAAAAAAAAGCTACATTCTGCACATATCATGCATGTAGCTTTCTCCTTCTTTTGGGTCAAAAACTTTACCTGGCTGTCACAAAAAGCAAATAAGACTGAATGCAGTGAGATGTCCTGTCTGTCTCTTTGCTGCTGTTTCATTCAGTACTGGGGAAAGCACTGCGAGCCCCCAGGCAAAAAAACTAAAAATATATACAGTATGACAACAGACTGGATCAGACAGACTTGAAGCTTTAAATATGTTATAAACAAAAAGCACTTTTACACTTGTTTCCATGTCATTATTGTTGTTCTTTTGCTGTTTTTCTATAGGGTACATCAAACTTTAACTGAGGACAGCTGAAAAGCTATAGAAATACACTTGAGGGTGCTGCTTACTATTATATTGTGAAGGGGTGCATATAACAGCAGTGTTTTTACTTATATATGTTAAAAATACTGGCGGCTGCTGGTGTTACCTCTCAGCCTCCCAGTACATATAGCTATGGTATCAATTTGAAAATACCACATTGTTTTGTTTTCAAGTTATTGCATTCACAAGATTTCCAAAAAACATGACCTCTGATCTTGAGGTCAAGGTGAGTGAGATTTGAACTTCTCTGAGATTCTCTGCCACAACACCCCATCAGCCTTTTACAGCTAAGAGGTAAAAAGGAGAAGACACTCGCTACACTTCAGTTCATCCACTTTCATGCTCTTGCAATAAGCAGAACATTTAATTTAACTGCTGTTTTTTTTGTTTCAGATCATTCAAAGATCATCTTCTCTGCATTCAATGTTACTTGGAAAGCTCATCTCTTGTGGGGTCTGGACAAATTAACTTTTGAAAAGATGTTAATCTAAATGGTAATACGCACCGTTTATTCCCCCCAAAATGCCCCAGAGATTGACTAAAGGCCCCTACAATTCACTCATTATGGCAATACTGCCTGGCAACATTAACAGCCTCCACATTGTACAGTAGTCCAGACACTGCAGGAGGAAAGTCTCTGGATAATATTTATTCATGCCAATATTGGTTCCAGGAAGTAGCAGCTGGATCACTTTACATTCAAACCCACCACTTCACATGCCTTTCAAAGTCAGAAGTCTGCTACCAGCAGCAGGAGGAGGTCGGAGTGTAGCAGAAGAGTGATGGCGAGGGGAATACTGACTCCAAGATGATAAGAGGGTAAGAGGAATACACCCCACAGTACAATCTTTACCTGATCTTGACTCATCCTGGCTTTATTCACAGTTTCTATGTCACAGTGCACTTCATTCACTTTGAACTATAACAGCAACTGCAGGGTTCACTGCCTACCGTTCACTATTCTTTCTTCACATCACATGGGACTATGCAGCCTTTCAACAGTTTTGACACAGTGACTTACTTTTAAGTATTTTGATCCACAGTATGCTGCCCAGAAATATACAGAGATGTTTACCTACCACCTGTCATCATTTATTTTCACTCTATCACCCTCTCCCTCCTCTCTCCTTTTCTTCCTCTCTTTTTCTCTGCATGGCTCCCCTCATGCATTTGTAAATACGCATTCTCCACTACTTATACCAACACAGCAAAGCACCAGCTCCACAAACTCTCATTGGCTGCCAGTGACATCACTTGTGCAAAGTGTTGAGTCAGACTCCAAGAAGCTCTTTCACTGACAGCTGATGCCCCCTTGTGTCCACACAGAAAACTGCAGCCCTAAAAATAAAAACACCTCCTGGATTTGAACACTAATCATCAGCTGCTCCAGACAACCTTTTACATGTTAAACAGCACTAGAAAAAGCTACATACACGCAAACCAGATCTATGACGGCAAGTCACCTTAACCTCATTGTAAGCCATCTGATCTCCCGGAGAAAGCAAAGGATGTTTGCAAATTAAATTGGCTTATGTTTAGTCTAATGGTCTGCACAGACCATTAGAGTGAATTACACTGTAAGCCTGGCTGATTATTAAAGCTAACGGGATCATGTTCAGTCTCTTTCCCCAAGCACTAATCGCTACTGCACAGTGTAATCTGCCCTCTGCTGTTCTCAGGTTACTATAGCCACACAATGCCTCATTAGAAGCAAACAGCCTTGATTTTTTACATCAAAGTTTGCTGAAAAGCGTGTAGTTTTGGATCTAAGGGATAGCAGGAAATTATGAAAAAAATATTTGATTAAACTGTGCTGCAGAAATATTCCCTGTACATATTGCTCTGGATTGAGATGAAAATTACAGCCATCATGTGTTTTTAGATTGATTAATGTGCTATTTTGTTTAATATTTGTCCATAAAATGTCAGAAAGTTGCTGAAATCACAGTCTAAAACATATTTGGGTTACTGAAAGCCAGACAGCAATCAGACTTCTGACCCATTTAAAGGAGAAGCTGCTGAGTTCAAAAAAAGAAGAAGATAGAGACAGCACAGCGCGCACTTCATTTTCCCTACCTTGCGGCTGGTGTAGTGGGCATGCTTAGCCAGCTTCGTATTGAGTCCTTGCAGAAAAACCTCATCAGTGACTTTGCCCACATTCATACAGGCTTCATCCAGCACAGCAAAGATGCCCTTATGCTGCTGTTCCACCAGGTCAACAATGATCTGGTTATTGAAGTAATCAATCTAATAAAGGAAACAAAGGAGTAAAAGTAACCATGATGAAACGAAAATATACAAGCAGGCAAATTAAATACCATATGATGATGTACGAAAGGATCTTAAATGAAAACTACTTGATAAAACATGTTAATGATCACTGAAAAGTTAGAGTATTTTCTTCTTACGTGTTTCCAGGGGATGCCTTCCCTCTGATACTCATCCTGTTCCTGCTTTAGCACCAGCTGGATGAAGAGCTGCTGCAGCTTTTCATTACAGTAGTTGATGCAGAACTGTTCAAAGCTGCAGCATAAAGAATAGTAACATTAAATGCAATGTGTTTTACAACAAGATACAAAGACAAATGTATTGGAAATTCTCCTTTTTTTAAAATATTTTATTTAATTATTCTTTCTTATACAGACCTGTTGTTCTGGAAAATCTCAAATCCATAGATGTCCAGAACCCCGATGACAGTGTTTTTCCCGTGGATTTTGGCGTCATAGTTCCTCACCTCAATGATGTCATTGATGCGACTCACAATCCAGCAGAACAAGCGCTCATACATGGCCTGTGGACGACAAAATCGCAGCGTGAATTGTTTGTTTTGGACTCCTTGGCAGCTTGCTGGTGAGCAAGTGCCTTGCTCATGGGCACAAGATCACCCAGTGTGCAATTAACAGTTAGAGAAGTTAAATGTCAAAATATATGAGTCACAACCCACAGTGCTGGTCCTGCAATTGCCCACAAACATTACATCCTCCACAGTCTCCAGCCTCTGTCTCGAGTCATAACACTGTGACTCATGCAAGTGTGAATCAGTGTGAACAGCAGTAGAAATATCACCAAGCACTGAGCAAAATATCACAGCCCTACAGGTGCTGGCCCACAGGCCACCGTGAACATATCGAGTATTCACAGCAATAACCTTGGCTAGCGCGTCCCGCCCGTAGTTGGCCTCTTGTGTTGTGTGCTGTTTTTCAATGACATCCCGTCCCGTGGCTACCGTGCGATAAAGCAACGCCTTCTCCACGTTTTCCTCCTTGGTGGACAGCAGCTCCCTGATCACAGACACCAGCTTTGTGTTCTCTATCAGGGTCACATCACCGTCCACTCCAAATGTCAAATTTCCCTAAAATATAGAACAAAGACAATGGCTTAGTATTTATGGCATGAAATACTAAAGTAAAACGTCTACGCTACGTGAGAAATTTAACTTAAATGAGGAACATATTCTGCTTAACCCAACTAAACTTTAATAACGTTGTGGTGCTCGTCTTTTAACGACCACTAAACTGAAATAATTTTCAGGAATTTGCTTTGAATAAACAGACATAAAAATCATAAAACAAAGCATAAACAACATTTTAGAAGTGTAAATATGATCTGATTATGCGACAAACACTATATACAGTAACAAAAATAAATAAAAATTCTCATTCACCCCACACAAATCAGCCACATCAACAAAACCACTGTCAGGTGCACTGAATAACTCATCGTCTCGTTCCTTATCAATCTTCAGGGGAATTCTTGGCTCCGTGTATTCACGTCTAACTCACATACCACCCACTTGAACACTGATCTAGCCTTAAGGAACCTCTCCCTGACTGGACTGGCCTCCCACAGCAGTACAATGCACCCCACTACACTAGAGATTTTATTTAGGAACACCATAAAGGTCCTAAGTCTTGACCCATCCTCCAAAACTCCACAGATCCCAATCTGATGGAGCACCTGCAAGATCTGCAGGACCCAGGCAACCTCCTACCAACCCCAGAGGCCAATATTAGGTGCGTCGCTTTAGTATTGGGGCTGGACATTTAATAATTCTTCTGATTTATCCCAAGTAATAATAAAAGTAATAAGAGTTTGTACTCTGGGACATCTAAGGAGCTTGGAAATTAAAGTGAGTGGACTTCTTTAAGTTTCTTGAAGATGCTTCACCTCTCATCCAAGAAGCTTCTTCAGTTCTAAGAGAAGTTTCCATGACCTGGATGACTGAGAACCTTCACAGACATACACTGGGACACAGCTGGCAAAAGAAATAAGCAGAGTTGTCGTATTACTGGGCATTACCAGATGCAGGATGGTTGCCAGGATCTTGTAAACAGTCTGAATCTCATCCCCTGTGAAACCGATCACTTTCATGGCATCAGCTACAGCTTTGAAATCAGCACCATCGTTGATGCAAGACTGGAGAGAAGAAGGAGAGACACTGAAAGCGGATCAAAACAAATAACTGGAAGGAAACAGGAAACAATCAGCAAAGCCTGAGTAACATCTTTTCAACATTTATCCCCCTTAATGGTTCAATGGAACAAATACAGATGTTAGTATACAATGTTACAGTTTACAATGTTTTTCTGTTTAGTCTTTGTGCTTTCTCCTTTCTCTTCTAATCAATCGAGTCAGGATATCACGTGTTAATTAAATAACAAACCAGCTCTTAGCTGAGATGCTTTCCTATAAAAACAGGAGTCGCTGAGGCGAACTGTGTACAAACCGCCACCTCGGCTGTGTGGTGGTGTTTTGTTCCATGACGTCAGGCAATTTGTTGCTGTCAAGTGGTTTTGTTCCTACTCATTAAGCTCAGGCAAAGATGGCAACACACAGCAGAAGTCTGAATTAAAACATATCTCAAGAGACCACAGTGAATTTAATGCACCGTGACTTTGAATTGTTAATCAATGAAATTATTTTTTCCACTTGTGCTCCAAATATGGGAGTTACGTGGTTTGTTTCAAAAAAGCCTATAAACTGTGGTCAGGACAGACACATCTGCAAATCGTGTGCTTGATTGTATTTATCCCAGTGCAAACAAACTTACTGTCACGCTGACATTCTTTTAGGGGTTTTCATGCTTTGCCAGTTCTATAAACACATCTTAATAGTTTAATTTTTTAAAAACAAAACCACAACAAAGTTCATATGTGAATTGCAATGTATATAAATTGCCTAGATTACCTTAAGCTGGCCTCCAACTTTGATGAAATTGTATGCTTTTGGGTCCTTCTGGATGTGAAGCGAGCGTAAAAGGGAATCTGGAGCTCCTCTGAGTAGCTAGTGAAGGATAACAAAGAAAATACTTTGTTGTTTTTAATGCTGTTGACTGAAACTTTGCACGTGTTAATCATATAGAACAGAAATATGCTGCAGCCTGAGCCATTAGCATGCCAATCTTAAGTTAAGCCATTTAGGAAAAGGAAAAAGAAAAGATGTTTACTCCGTGGAATTTTTCCCAAGTTCAGGAAATTGTCTAAATGATACCCTTAACTAAAAATGTTTGCTTTTCTGGTTCAAATAGCAGACCTATTAGTATGCTCCTCATGCTCAGCAAGCAATAAACAAACAAACAAAAACATATAAAACAACCTAGAGTGCAGAACAGGGCAGCCGGACTAGTTCTGCACTGCTCCTACCAATTTGCACGAGATGCATAAACAATTATCTGGACTTACCGATAACTTAAAGGCACAGCTTTTGTTATATATACACAAAGGTATCATGAAATCTAGGCCACATTTGTTTTGTGATAAGAAAAGTGTTTGAGTATCTGAAACAGGTTGCCAAACATCAAACAAAGAAAGAGTTTCATTTGACAAGTTTCTACGGCAACGGTTGTGGAGTTTATCTCAATGAGTACTGCAACTATTTAATTTCCGGAATTTCTTTACCTGGATTTCTTTACCAACACAGATTGCCACTATTGTTTCTATGCTCTTTGATATTAGCGGAATATTAGTGTTGTTTTGAAACATGTTCATGTATATTTTTAAAATGGAATCCAGGAAGAGTAGCTGTGCTCTGTGTTACAGCCAATGGGGGTTCCTAATAAATAAACAAATAAATTCAACATCAAACAACCTCAACTCACTATCCTCCCACATTTGGAAACAAAAGGTCTTTTGACTCAGAAATGCTGCAGGGATTCAGAATCCTGCTGCTGAGTCTGTATTTTGCATATTAAAAAGGGGACCCTGTGGAGCTTTTCTAAAAATAAACTAAAATTGTGTTTTCATCCAGATTTCCCTGCCAAAATGTGTTGTCTGTCTTCAAGGTCCAGCTAACATATTTACAGACTGTTTTCATCAGTGTTTACTAGGTTGCAGTTTACTTTGATTGCACTCAGTAGTGTTTATTGTTGCACTACTGCTCACTGTTGATCACTGAATTAATGAGACACCGCTGCATTTGCATTCATGTGAATCCATATGTGCATGCACAGGGAACCTTTAACAAACAACCTTAATGATTACATGCAAATAAACACAGGTGCGCACATATTTACCTGGTAGAACGAATGAAAGCTCCTCTCGCCTTCCTGCTGGAAAATTACCCTGGACTGTTTGGAAAATGAACAAAACGTGTGTCACATAATGCTCGAAGCCTTGTCAACCAAGAAAAAACAAAATCTGTAACTATCACTGCATGATTTTGCTTTATAAACATATAAAAATAATATGGTAGGGTTAGGATGTCAGGCAGTCACTCTGGAATTACACAAACAGAAAGAACAGACAGAGACCGCTTGGAACAATGTGCTCGGCAACTACTGTAACAAACTCCAGGCACCTTCATTTTAATGCTGAAAACTTTTGCACATGTACTTAAAATATTTTAGAATCGTCATGCACTAATCAAACAAAGTCTTTACCAAATGCAATGCATACCTTCTCCAGCAGGTAGTTGTTAATATGGCCTCCGATGGGATCCCCCTTGAAGTCAAAATTAATGTCCATGTATTTGCCAAAGCGGCTGGAGTTGTCATTACGGTTGGTTTTGGCATTGCCGAAGGCCTCCAACACGCAGTTTGATTTCAGCAACATGTTCTTTACTCTGTGGGACGGCATCATGATATTAGAAGTTAAGTGGCTGATTATAGAGGACCTAGTATGTATATTAGTTACCATGGTTATGTAGCCATTATTTCAACAGCTGATGTTTGTGTGTGTGTATATGTCAGAGGTAATATAAGTACAGACATTCTCCACTTAAGCAGAAGCTCAGATAGTTGTGTCAAAAAACACTTTTTACTCAAACTAAAAGTGTAAAAGTACAGGCTCTGAAATGTACTTGAAGTAAAAAGTAGCTCTTTGAGGGCATTTTCAAGCCATCTGAATCTCATGTTATACTAATATACTAATAAAATAATATTAATGGGAGAGAATACACAGTTTGTTTCAACCTAAATTCTCATTCTTATAAATCCACACAGCCTGAAGCTTGTGCAGGATGCAAGCAGAGAAAAACAAAGGAAAAATTTTTTAAAGGCACCGGTCTGCATGATGGATAGGTGACTAAAGAGAAAAGTGAGGTTAAAGTGGGATTTGATAGGCAGGGGAATCCTAGTGGTGCAGCATGGGGGGAAAGAATCCCTTAGACACTATAAAGCTGAAAATACAGACACAATTCTGTGAGCAACTCTAATCAGCTTCATCATTTTAAATTCAAATTTATGTCTGCTACCCTTTATGTAATCTAACACTGACCATGAACATCACAGCCACTCTGCACCAGTGCAACATCATCCATTCACCACAGTAATGCAAATTAACCTGCTTAAACCTGCTTAACCTGGACTAACCTATATTTAACCGCTGAGTAGGGATGGGTACCGGTGTCCGGTGCCATGATGGCACCGGTTCTGACATAAACGGTAGTAACCAGACCGAAAAGCAGCGCACATTTCGGTGCTTTTTTTTTCCTGAGCTGTGATACACTTTAGATTCTAGCCAATCATTTTACGTTTCCGAGGATCGTAGGCGGGGCCAGGTACGTACGTTCTGTTAGAGCAGAGCTACAGATTAAAAATGTCCAAGGCGAAGCGGTCAAAAGTCTGGCTGTACTTCATAGCAAAATATGCAAACTCAGCAGCAGCAACAAGTGCTTTAAGCTGATACTGTGATACTGTCAAAGGAGGTAACACCTCAAATCCGATTAAACACCTGGCGACGCGTAGCGTTTTTTTTTAAAAGCCCAGAAATGCGCCGTATTTGATAGCTTGCTGCGAGACCTCACACCGAGCACATCTACTGCGGGTGGGTTGCCTGTTATGCAACATCCCCCAAAAACACGAAGAGGAGAGTCCTGGCCCCTAGCCCTGCCAGTGTAGCAGAAATGATGACGGATGATGGTGGCAGCAGCCGTTCTTCTCTGCGTGAGTAGCTAATTTACGTTGAGTAGGCTAACCACGTTATTACATTAATGCATGTAAGGTGAACTAGCAAACATCATCATAGCTACATGCTGTCCTCTTGTTTGATGGCAGATACTCCCTTCACCCTGGCTAAAAAGGCTAAAATGACCAAAGAAAAAGTGGAAAACAGTTAAACATGAGAGGTTTAGGACAAAGTTTGTGTTTTTTCCATTGTTTAAGCACTGCTTCCAGCCAAGAGTGATACCATATATGCCCCATAGCTGCAGAAAAGGCTAACATTGTTATATTTTTACAAAAAACAGCTAAACATGAGAGGTTTTTGGACCAATTTTGTGTTCTCCATTCTTTAAGCACCGGTTTGAGCACCGTTTGAGCACCGGCACCGTTTCAAAAGTACCGATTTGGCACCGGTATCGGATAAAACCTAAACGATACCCATCCCTACTGCTGAGTATTTTCATACAACCTTTAAATAAAAAATAAAGTTAGTATACTTTAATTTCACTTACAGGATGTTTCACAATATGAAAAACAAAACGCATGACATCAAAAGCGTATCGTGCACAGATCTGATATTAACAAGCCCTAAAATAACTGAGGACATGACATAAGCTTGAAATTTCCAGTTTATCAAATGTCACTGAGCAATCTATAACCTGCCGCCTTCTTCTCTGAGTAAACATATCAATCAAAAATCCCACTCTGGATCGTTCAGGCCCACTGTAACCCCTGAGTACAGTTCTATAAATAATACATAAATAAGGTTTTTTGTTGGTGTATCTTGTGATGGATACACCAATAGGATTGTTTTACGTTTTACTGTTGAAATATTAAGTCTGTGCTTGAATCTGTATGGAAGTGAAAGGAGATATGACACATATGGTCATTTCAAGCTAAAAGCTTCAGCTGTGAGAAAAAAAAAGTCCCGCCCACCTGCTGTCAAAGCACCTGTTTGCGAGGGATAGCCAGTTAGAAAGAAGTCAACTTAAAAAGAGGGCAAACAGCCGCCAAGTTCAGCCAATTTAAAAACAGTGACTCATACGGTCTAGTATGTGGATCGAGAGATAAACAGGTAATTTATATGGGACATACATAAACACAGCCAACAACTTTAAACACTATGTGTACACAGTAACTTACTTTAGTGCCTTTTTGATAAAGACTGTATACATACGAAGCACATCCTGTCCACATACATTTCCTTTAGAATATCATTAGTATGTGAGTACGCAGTCAAACTCCTTCTACCCATCTACAATTTGTTATTTTCTAAATATCCTTTATATAATCAAATACTATACTCTTCTATACTCAAGGGTTTTAAAGCATTGGCTAATTATACCATCCTGTACTGAAATGTAATGAAGTAAACCACCAGCTGCTGTAACCTCAGCGATAAATAGAAAGCACAATTCTAAACTTTGCTCTGTGAGCAAAGAATTTTATGGATTTCAAAATGTTTATTCGTGCATAAAGTTTTAGTGTCTCCGCATTTGTCAGCACTTTGTATTCACCACCTAAATGGTTGACCGTCAAGGCTTTTCCAGCTTTTTCCCTTGACCTACATTTCGTGGACTTTGCATCAAAGCTGCTCTACTTTCTTATTATCTTGATGATTTTAAGAGACTGAAATAAAATCCGACTGTAATGTGATGCAACGACTTCTTTTTGCACAGTAACAGCTCACACCTATTCACTTATCAGTGGCTTTGACTAAGCTTAGCTGAGCTGTAACTATATCCCACTATGATCTAAAAGCCTCTGACCACTTGCTGATTTACTTCTAAAATTAAAGACTGACTTATTTTTAGCAACAAAACCTGTGATAAGACCTGCGAGTAGTCATCATTGCACTGGGACCGACACAAAGAATGAAGAGTTAAATCCTGTTTACTCAGAAATGTGTTGTGAGACCGTTTACACCTTCTATTAAAACATACGCGCCTGGTTGTTTTTGTTCAATAACCATAACACTGATTATGTGATAAGCTTTCTGCCCACAGAAGTGGTGATGCATAACAACTGGAACTCACAAGAAAACAACTTCCTTTCTGGTAATATTCACCATGTGTTTATGTGCTGACAGTGTCCATAAGAGCTGCTCACCTTTCAACTTCAGCCCTCTGATTAGGATTGGTAATAGCAGCAATGTATTGCATTATATACTTGCTGGCTTCAGTTTTTCCTGCTCCACTTTCCCCTGAAACAAAAAACAAAACAAAACAGTTTAATAGCGGGTTTTTTTTTTTTAAAATAACCATAAATCATGTTGGCATCTATAATTTTGTGGTGTGTTGCATGCTCTGCAAATTTAACCAACAAAATGCAAGTGGTTTAAAATGCTGAATATTTTAAACAGACACGAGTTGAGACGTCCATGCTGGTGAGACCCATAAACAAATCCTGAGCTGCAGTTTTTGTTTTATATTCATGTTATGCACAAAACTATTTAATTCCACATTAATTATTTTTTTATTTTACAAATAATATTTGCCCGAACCACATGACAGAATGCACTCATGGCGTGATCTCAGGATCTGAGGGTCTTATTTCCCTCTCTGACCACTAAGTGGTGCTTCATCCTCTCTGCACTCACCCAGCTTGTGACCACATGAAACACTTGTTTTGGACTAAGTCACAGTGAAGTGCCATCATTTTCAGCTGAATTGAGAAGACAAAACATCTGAGTCATCAGAAGACAATGTGTGAAGTCAACAGCACAAAAAGAGTTTCAACAAATGCTTTGTAGATGTAAAGGTGTCTTTTGTCTGGTCTGTGCAGGGGGGCTTCTCGTGATACCTGAGATGACAATGCAAGTGTCTTTGTTCCTCCTCTTCATGGCTTTGTAAGCAGCATCAGCAATGGCAAACAGGTGTGGCGGCCTCTCGTAGAGCTCACGGCCCTTGTACTGTTCTATGACGTCCCGGCTGTATATGTTCATGGCACGGTAAGGGTTGACAGACACCACCACCTCGCCGATGTAGGTGTAGATCCTCCCCTTCTCAAACCTGAAGAATATAAAAAAATGATTTTTTTATTGATAATCACAACCAACAAGATTAGACTGATAGCCTGGCAATGATTTCAATGATTTTCATTGAAATAATAAAGATTAACAAAACTTTTTTTGGAAACATATGTTAAAAAAAACAAAACAAAACTACAATGCAATGCCTTTACTATTCAAAATGCATAGTTTCCATGTATTTAGAAGATATAATTCTTATTATATTTTTTATACAGCTCATTTACTGTATTACTCTAGAGTTCTGTATAGTCTAATATCAGACACCAGAAACCACAAAAAGCATTATAATTACAACACTGCAGAATCACAATGCTGACACAATTGCAACACTTGTCAACATCGCCCTTTTACAAATCAGTCACACCACATTTTAGACCTCTACAGATTACATTTTCACCAATTACAATAGCAGAAAGGCATTTATGAAATATGAACAAACTGTGACACCAGCTTAAGGTTTCCCATCTTGCTTTATTTGCATGTTACAATATCATGCTGCAGATGTTATTAGCGTGCTCTGTGTTAGACGCTGTTTTGAATGTATCTGTTGTTATGAAGGTTAATATCAATAAGGAAGCTGTTTAAATAATAACTGATGGCTTATGGAGAAGGGTTGGGTTAAATCATTGTGAACCAGCAAAGCACTATTAACAGATATTCCAGTGTATTTTGGGGAAGTCTTTGTATATAGTATGTTTTTCTAAGTTTTCTAAAGAGACATCCCCAGATTTCTGTGGAAGCACCCAACAGGTCTGATGTTTTCCCTAATCCACATCCCACCCCTTTGGGATGAACCGCTGACCAATCTGACCAGATTGGAGCATATCCAGCCACAGGAGTAAATTAGGTTTTTTCTTCTTCAGTTTAAAAAAAACAAGCAAAATAGCTGCCAAACATATAATAGTTCATGTTAAAGTTGCTCTACCTCTGGCTACCTTTCCCGCGCTCTAACTTTCTGTGCCCTTTTCTTTCACCCACACAATCTTTCTCTCCCTCTCCTGGCTTTTCCCTCTCCCTGAAGCCGCCTGCCTGACTTCCTTCCTCTCCAAAATGGACTAGGATGCCAGTTTCTCTCCACAGAAGAATGGTCTCTTTCTCCACAGCTGCCAAACCTCTGCTGCTGCATTTGCAAACAACCCTAAAAGCATATTATGACTGCTGAGTCAGACGATGAGAGAGGTTAAGTAGTCCTCAACACTTCGATATTGCTGCACATGAACACATTTGTCAATATAAAAGTCTTTGAGCATCATCCCAAATTGCTGATGGGTGTCCAAGACTCTCATTTTGTTTATCAGCATATTTAAAAGGAGATAAGCCTCAGCCCTGTTAATCTATTTTATGCGCCCTAAAATGGCCTCTGTGTGACATTTGGATTCAAGATGATCGTAAACCAACCTTCCAGTGCAGGAAATTGGCTCTATTTAAAAAAAAAAGGAAAAGTTTCCATCAGATTAGATTTATCTTTCATCAGTTGCAGTGTCCCATGGAAATAGAAACTAAATACTGGTTTATGGTCATATCTCTAGACCCAAAGAAGCACAAGTACTAAGAAAACAGGAAACAAGAGAACAGAAAATTCTAAGAATGTAAAACAGCAAGGCACACACTCAGATTAGCTCATTCCTGTGTTTAGATTGACTGACACAGTGTCATAGGTGGCAATGACATACCACACACACGTGTCCTGAAAGAGGATCAACCAGAACAAGGTTAGATAAAAACAAAAACACAAAAAAACCACAGAAAACCGAAGGTATTCTTTGTGACTCAATATATTCAATACTAATTTTTGCTGTGCATGCATAATATAATGTGCTTATTCTCAGCCAACATGGCCCATCATCGTGTCACTTTTCAGTTACACTAAATATATAAAAGAAATTCTGACATTTGAAGACCAGAGCAAATATTAAAACCACCAGTTAAACCTCCAAGCACATGGAGGTTGAATGTTCAGGTTCACAACAATGTCTCTAAGCAGCTAAGCTAACTTGCTAGCAACTCCTCCCCTGGTGCTACAGTAAAAGACCTATTGTGCCCTCCACAAGCAGGAGGCTGCTGTGTGCCAGCACCATTGTTTAGACATCAATTGGAGGTCTTTGTCTGAGACGGGGCCTCCATCTCCTACCGCATGGGTCGACACAGCGAGCTGCCCACTTAACTCACATGTGCAATAGTTTCTGGTGGACAATACTTTACGAGATGGGAGGTGACAGGGTCTACCACCATAATGACAAATGTGCAGGTATTTTTATAGTGTATTAGACATTATGCTGGTGAAGTGTCTGCTGGGGACTAATTGGGTGGAGAAAAACACAGTGTGTATGTGTGGAAAGAGTGAGATGGGAATATGGGAATATATCTACAGACAGACTGAACTGTGCTTGTTTTTTCCAAAACAGCCTGTATAACAAAAGAAGAAGCCACAGTGACACCACCCATTGCTTTCTGATATCCTGTTTTGTTTGGAGCAAGAAGTGACCTCATTTGAACCAGAAGGTGGAGTGTTATCACCTTGGTTAGCAAGATATATTCACAGTATATGGGTGGGTGGTAGAAAGATTAGGTATCGAACCCAACCGTGGTTTTGTAGTAGGATATTAACATATTTATTCCTTCTGTTAAATTGGGTACTATCAAGGTCTATGGTCACTGAGTCGCTTTTACAGCAAGCTCTAAATGTCCAACTACACAACTGAAGTTTCTTGTTCTACATTAAATTAATTTCTGGAGGACGCTGTTCATTGTTTTACCTCATTGTCTAAAGTCTTCATTTAGAAATAAACTAATAAAATTACACAGTTTTGTGTATTTCATGTGCTTGTTTTTTCAAAAACTGACCTCAGTATTAAGTATAGTATTAAGTGTACTTAGTCTTAAATTACTATACTGATTATATTTCCAGGAAATGTGTTAATAAATGTTTTAATTCATGCAGACTTGGCATGAATTATGACCTTCACATAATCGATCCAGTCTAATACATATGGAAGATTTTACACAACCCTCTGCAGCGATACATGCAGGAAAAAGGATCAAAGATCAAACAAACATGAAGTTATTGATTTAAGCCGTGATTAACAATGTTTGAAAAAAACACGATGATAAAAAAAAAGTTGCTAAACCCTCATGATAAGTTTTTTTAAAATATAGGGTAAGACGCTTTAAACGTTCTGCTAAATGAGTCCTAAGTCTGGCTGACACATGTCAGCATATCATTGGTACAATAACATAGCAGCAATAAACCACATGAGATGACCTAATTACACGTGAAGTAGCAGGTAAAGCTGGGTAGCTAAAAATAGGTCAGTGCGTGCAGAATCATACATTATTTATATCAATATAATTTAATGTTGCAATACATCAAGTGTTTCTTCAGTAAACTGTTATTTTGTGCAGCTCGACACTCATTTCACCATCAGTCACTGTGCAACAGCAAGGAGGGAGACACTGTGCAGTAATAACACATGTGAATGACTTAAAGCTTGAAGTTATATTTTGATGTTAAAACTACATGACTGACAGCAGACAACAACGCTGATTAACTTTGAGAAAACAACAATGTGGGCCATGATGCTAATAATGAAATCTCTCTTTAAAGCCACCAGACTCTGCTGGCAAAAACAGTGATTTTTAAGTTTACAGTTGGTTACCAACTGCTGCCTCAGTAAACAAAGGACTCCTGTGTTTTGTAAGGTAAAATTACTGTTAGTGAACTCTGGAGTTTGCTTCCTTGTCAGAAAGAACAGGTAAAGTGGTGAAACCATAAATAAAGCATATACATATAAACCAATATTAATGTCTTTCAGGTGGTTACTGTCCACAGCAGTACATGGCTTTGGTTTCTTTCAGCTGCTGCTGTGTGCTTAGGGGCATGGCCTACTGGTATGCACACTTATTGTAGATCAGAACTGCATTAAAACCCCACTACAAAGAAACTGAACTATTCCTGAGTCATAGAAAGTTGATCTTTAGATTCATATTTATGAATGCTTATACGCTGGTCAGTGCAAGTAACATCACATTTTGCATTTTGAAGTAAATATCAATTTATGTCAAGATATTTTTGTCACTACTGCAAAGCAAAAGTGAATCGAGGCATCGGCAGAACCTTTCTTTGAGCAAACACCGCAGGGAAACGCATATAAATATTATTACTGTGTCCACCACAATGCCAGTGCCAATGGCATTGTGGGTTTCAATTTCCCTTCCAATAGTAAAACATTACACACTACACAAACAAAGAGTAATCTAATCATTCAACATGCTCATGATTCACTGTGAAGTTGTATAGTCAGGACTGACACAGAGGGTGAGTTTATTCAGCAAAAAGCCCAGAAGAAACCCGTTTTCCCCACCTAGGTTTATAAATATCAGAAGAGGAGAGGAGAGGAGAGAAGAAGCGAAACTCAATCAGTTGGAGCATGTTAGCTGAGATAAAGGGCTGGCTGATCCATCTGTTCCACTCTGATTTAGAAGGATTTAAATGACACACAGGAAAAAGATTAGAGAACCTTAATAGCTGGGAGGCCATAATAGCCTCCCAGAAATGTTATTTATAGGAGCACTGAAGCTGAATCAGATTTCAGTTTGGTCAGGTTATCTGTCTGTTTTAAAATCAGATAAAAAATTAAATAAGGGATTAAAGTGAGACATTGGGCAGTACATAAATCTGCAGGTGTAATAATGCGACTCTCTTTACATCCTCTCTCACTTCCTCCCATCATCCAACTTTCTGTCTGCCCAGCTGTGAAAGGAAGTGTGGCTAAACTGGTCTGACCTGCAGTCGTGTGATCTCCTTCCAAAGAGGTCTCTCCTAAGGGCTGCCAGAAAATGGGAGAATCAGACAGGGAAAAAAAGAGAAGCAGGAGATGGAGAAGAGCTGAAGAGAAAAAGGGAGTAGGAAGATGATCTTTGCTGATGACTACTCCATGGCCTGACTTTCAACTAAATTATCATTTAATGATTAATGTTGCT